TCCGTTCAAAAAATGAAGTATGGCAGGAAGTCTGCGACGTTGCAAACCGAGTTATGTGATTGCCGACTTACACCGTCGAAATGTCGCTTGCATGCAACAGAACTTGTCATTTTAGCTCATGCACGCGCACGGTGCCTGTGCTGAGGGAGAATTATGACACCTCAATCCCTGATTCTCTGTGCTGCAGAAAGGCTGGCTTCCTTTATGATCGTTCTGCGAGTTTTATGCTTCTCCAGATCACCTAAAATCCAATGTGAGGAGCTAAAATGACATCTAAGATCTAGATGCGATGATAACTTTTTAAAATTTCTGAAATACTAAAGACTACACTTTCTTCGTGCTATTATTCATCTCTTATCTACGGTTATCTTTTTCGAAAGTAAAATTCCTTTAGGTTTTATGGAAAGGCCTGAAATTGGCAGATGAACTAATCAAAAAATGTAGCAGACCTGGCAAGACTCTCCTAATATAGATTTTATGCAATGTTTTACGGGAAGCTCATCGAGTCAATGCCGCTTATTTTTATTTCATGCGTGGCGAAGCGTTTTCCACAAAATACTCGCTCAGGTATATACTATGTCTATTGTCTTAATTTATTCTTATCACTGCTTATTCTAATCGCAGTTCTATTTTATTGCAGTACTTGGTGGATGTTTTTGCGGGCGTCAAAATGGAACTTCCAAAGAGAGATATTGCCGATTACGAAACCTTGTATCGGTACTTCGTTGCGTATCCTTTTCTATATTTTTTCATAGCTCGTGTTTTTTAATTATATAGAACACAAATGATGTTCGTCTTTCAATATTGCCATGAACTTACTATACTGCACCCTGTTTTTCAAAATGCCAACGCTAGAATGTGGCGTATTTCCTGTATCGGAAATTTTTCGTCCGTGAAACAAGGTCTCCTCGCCACCGATTATTTTGGAAACTTAAAGAAAAAATTGCAAGGTTTCATTTTGAAGATTTGCTTTTGAATGAATGATTTTCTCCACAAAGTGCGGAAATAGAAAACTTTATTATAGCATTTTTAAATGGACTTTGCTCACCATCATACGCCCCTCTGTCTCTAGGGGATGTCTTGGCTCCCGAAGAGCGGAAGGCGGTTTCATAAAGATATAATGTAGAAATGTAGTGTTTCCTTCGTATTTATAGGCGAAAAAGATTTTATTCAAATGTAATAGAGAGTAGTATGATATTACATTGAACTTTCAGTGCAAAGATCATTACAAAGCTGAGGAGTTTTAAGCTAAAGTTGCTAAATTTATCTGCTGTTAAATTCAGAAAAAGCTAACTGGTTTTAGTTTTTTCAAAACAATTTATATATAGACTTTTCAGAAATCGGGCTTGCAAAATCTGTAGTAGAAATAGAAAAATCCCACCGCAACACGTAGTTGTCTGGCTTTTAAAATGACGTGTCGACGTAAGGGTGTCTGTGTTTATCATTTTCCGTAGAGGAAAAAAAATTCTGTTACCAGGACCTAACCTTGGTTCGTAACACCGTAGTTTTCATTCCAGGTAACCAAACTTGCCGGTTGGAAAAACTGAATTAGGTAGAATACGAGTCTTTCAACTCACTAATTTTTTATGTAATTGTGCTATATGTAGCACTTGGTAGACAATACTTTTTTAGTTACCCTAAGCAAAGGGTCTCTCTACATGGGAAACTTCTTTTACCTGGACTGAATATTTTGGCGTTTGACATGAACCAAAATATCTTTTCATTACTATTTCTTCATCTCATCCATATAGAAAATGTCCACGAATATTTGCTGTCTTAGAAGTAAATTATTTTTTTTAATGATACGATAGTTAGACGGCCAAATGGATCGCTCTCTGGTAGAAGTGCGTAAGTCCAAAATTTTCAAGTTTTTCCCCGCAGTTTTGTCGTTCTGACGACGGGTTCCCACTCATTTGTCGAGGACATTTCAATTTAATATGGAAAAAAGAACAACGCCATTATAGGTTTTTTTTGTCTTTATCTATAGGCCATACCACCATGCTCTTTAAAAATAACAAATACGAGGGATAGATCTTCCAGAATAATTGAAACATAGTTTTTTTTTTTTCTTTTAAAAATGTCGCAGTTTCCCGAATATTCATGCAGAAGGGCGTAAATCGTAAAACTTTCAAACTGCCTTGAAAGGGTACTAAAAGTTTTTGAATAAAAAAAAATATTTTCTAAATTTCAAGCAAATGTTAATCCATTCTCACTCTAAACAAGTTTTAACCATCTCGCTTGACGAGAAAATCAGTTTTTGTCGCACCTTTAAAATATTTTGGTGACTTAAACGCCTCTTTACCAGAAATTGATTCAATCATTTTCAATGACTACGATAATTTATAGACGCTCAATTATCTTTTAAATGACTCCAATGTTTTAGTCGAGTATAAATCCTTAACATCTGTCTTAGTTATGGAGGTGTAGTCTTACACCCGAGCACGGCGAAAGAGGATCGCACACACGTTCTGTCGACGCCGTCAACTAAGGTAAGCTCCATCAAATTTTGATTCATTATTTTAATCTATTTGTTACGGTCAATGTTAGGGGGCCGGCCGATGCTGTCACTGACCGGCCAATGATAGCATCGGCCGAAATCGAGGTCCATTGACATGATTGGCCGGCCAATTATGTCATCGGCCAAAAAGCCCGGTCACTGTTAACATTTTCACCGCGAGGTGAACAATGGCCGGCCGATGATGACAGTGGCCAATGACTGACGGCCATTGTTCGTTCGCATTATAAAACACCGTAAACCTGAAAACATACCACATGAGAGGAAACAAACGAGTGAATGTGTAATTACTACAGCTGTTTGATTTATTTTTTAGAAGGTTCTTTTTTATTTATTTTACATTTCTTTCGACTTTAAAAATTGGAACATTTTTTTTTTTTCGTTTTTGTTTTTTTTATCCCACAGCTGTAATAATTATATCAAGAAGCAACGTTGAGTTTTAATTTTTGAGACATATCATCAGCCGGCATTGCAGGATACACGGTGACGCGGTTGCCGCTTGGTCACTCAACTCTCTCACGTTCAATTGATAAATGATAACAGATCCTCTCACGTTCAATTGATAAATGATAACAGATCTTCTCACGTTCAATTGATAAATGATAACAGATCCAACATTGGCCGTCACCCCTCGGCCAAACAGTACATTGGCCGGCCAATGACATCAGCAGCCTGTCAATATGTGACGGTTTTATTGTTGAGAAAACATTTCCCAAAATCGCTGGCCATTGACGTCATTGGCCGGCCAATGACATCTTCGGCCGAAACCCCCGGCCACGGTCAACATTGGCCGCGGCCAATGACATACACTTCCCCATTCCCTCACATTGACCGTAACAAATTCACTTCTACCAGGGTGGTTACAATCAATGAAAATCAGGATAAAGAGGGGGAGAATTTGGCGTATTCCCGCTTAACAGAACTAGAAACGTGTGGGAGAGATGGGGTGTGCTCGTGGTGAGCTGCATAACAAACACTGTAAAAGTGGACATGATTCCCTCTGACGAAATGGAAAAGCGGGATTTGACACTAAATCAAACGGAACCTAAGTGCCAACTGAATCCGGCACTCGTGAGCCATGGGCATGTGCACGGAGAAAAAAACTTCGTGCGTGGGACCCGAAGTTTAGGTCATATGGATCTCAGAAGTTTTCGGATTGAGCATCTGAACCCTTTAGGTCCAGCTGCTAAGGTTTGGATCACACATCTGAAACTTCAGTTCTTACAACTGAAGTACTTCGGTTTTCACATCCGAACAACTTCGGTTCTCACATCTGAAGTACTTCAGATGTAAGAACCGGAGTTTCAGATATAGGATCCGAACCTCGATAGCTAGACCTAAAGTGTCCAGATGCTCAATCCGAAATCTTCAGAGATCCATATATGACCGAAACTTCGGGTCCCACTTACGAGTTTTTTTTTTCTCCGTGTGCCAACTGCCAAGAGCATCATAGTGGTCAGGGCTTGTTAGTTAAAGAGACTCGACCGTGTGTGCTTTTGTTGTCGTAGGGAATAATGACGCTGGGAATAAATGGACGTATTCATGCTAAAAGGAACTGTAAGCAAGTGGAAAGATGGGGTGTGCTCGTGGAGGCTGGATACGGAACAATGTAAAAGTGGATGTAGTTCCTATTGAGAAAATGGAAAGCGGGATTTGACATTGAATCAAAAGGGACTGAGCGGTAATTCATGAGCCGTGGGCATGTGAAAAGAGCCTTTTGGACAGGGCTCATGAGTTAGTCGGGCTCACGCAGGAGAAGTGCGGCGGCGCACAGTGGATCGAGTCAACAGGAGAGGTCGGACATTTGGAAACTTTCAACGCTTATAACTCCGTTTATACAAAACTGTGAGGTTTTAAAAGTGGCTCTTTTGGCTATCTCATGAATTTCCTTCTCGCAGCACCCCGTAAAATTTATCATGTGACGGAATCAACATCAAAATTTGCGTCAAAAATTTCATGTCCGACGCCCCTTTTTGGTTCGATCCACTGTGCGTCGGCTTCGTCACTGTCGCTGTACATTTCCCATTCATTCTTATGGCCCGACCACCAACGAGCACACCCCATCTTTCCACCTGCAAATGGACGTATTTCTGTCAAACGGAACGAAGCGCCAATTTGAGTTCCGTTTGAGGAATTCAGAATCCCGGATAGCGCGCTCTGTCAAACGGAACTAAGCGCAATGGAAAAGCATTGCGAGTATAGGACGGAACGAGCAGGACACCCGTTTCCGCCGCCAATCCAAGCCCCCCTCTACCTTTTTCCCCCATGGCGCCTAGTTCCGTCTTCTGTCAGATGCCGCAATCAGACGCTGAATTTAGCAGCTGAATGTGGAAGTCAACAGTCATCGCCCAACGGCTGAAATTTAGCAAATTCGAGTTATTTTCATCCAGATGTGTATCAAATCTACTCGAATAGTTCAGACAAATTCAAAATTGGTCCGATGGTTGCTGAGAATCGTTGCTGAATTTTGCGCGTCACGCGCAAAATTCAGGCATCGGGCCGATGACTTCCATATTCAAGCCACATTCAGCTCCCACATTCAACGTGTGATTGCGGTGTGACAGAAATACGTCCAAATAGCACCATTTTGCATAAATACGTCCAAATGAGTCTGCTGGGCCGGCGGTAAGTCGAGTTTCGAATGCGGCGATGAATGGGTCCTAGGTGGCGGGTGCGGGCTGGCCTTTGGCGCGGAGGCGGTTGTAGAAGTCGTTGACGAGGGCCTGGGCGCGGGCGGTGCTGTAGCCGAGGCCGAGTCCGATGGCGGAGGCGGTCTTGCGGGTGAGCTGGTCGGCGAGCTCCACGCCCGGGATCTTGAGGACCACGCGGCGGATCTCCTCGATCTTGCGCCGCTTCTCTTCCTCGCGCTGCGCCCGCAGCGCCTCCTCCCGGCGCCGCGCCAGCTCCGCCGGGCTCACAACCGGCGCGAACCACCCGGACATGGAGGAGAAGAGCGAGGGCGGCGAGGTAGATGTCGAGGTCGAGATGGTGGCGGATGCGTTGACTGGGGCCGCGGCCACCACAGCCACGACTGGAGCCTCCGGCGGCGGTTGCGGAGGCGGACTAGTCGCCAGGGTCGCCGGGGTCGCCAGGAAGGAGTCGAAGAGGCCGCGGATCGAGAGCCTCGTCGGGCTCGGCGAAGCTACCTGCGCATAGAAAAGCGTTACATGTACATTTCCATCAAATGGATTTTTCTCGTCCAGGCAGTGCTCCCATGCCACGCTGTCCTGCTATGGAAGAACGCCGTATGCACACTGAAAAAAAATCTCCGTGTATGTACTAAGAAAAGGGTCAAATTACCAAGAATTCAGGCTTCTATTCTGTCCCAGTTTTTTCTTGGTGAAGTTACCATTTATGGAATTGGTAATTTTACCGAGAAATCTCGGTAAAATTATTCAACTTTCTCGGTAATTTTACCGAACCTTGGTAAAAACGCCAATATTTTTCATCGACTGCGGTAGAATTACCGAGATGAAATGGCAAAGTTACCGGGAATTGATTACCAATAAAAGTGGTATTCTTACCTGAAAAAATAGTAAAAATACCGGTTTTTAGGTAGGCTTACCAGTCTGTCTTGGTAAAATTAACAACAATTGGTGAAAAAAAGTGAGATGATATAGGTACCAACGGACCGTGGTATAAACGCCGAGAATTTGTTTTCAGTGGACCTTCAGGCGTTGCCAAAATTCCTTCGATAAAAACCGAATTTACTTAGAAAATTGTGAATATCATTTTCCAAAATTTGCAGACGATTTCGTACGCAATTTAATCTAAAATACCTGGAAATGTCAAGGAAAGACATAAATGAATATTCTTAAAAATGCTTGTTTTATGCGGAGAAATTTGGCATCTCTCGAATGTTCATACAGCGTTTTTCCTTAGCACGGTAGCATGGATAAGCGTGGCATGAACCTTCAGAAGTTGCCATATTTCTTTCAATGAAAAACGAATTTACTGCACCGAAAAAAACTCCGGCCGTGGGAGCCGCACTCACGGGCTGCATAGCGTCCACGTTCCGGGCTCGGAGGCCGAAAGTTTCGGGCATAGCACCCGGAGCAATCAAAGCTACGACTCGAGCACCTGGAGTAATCGAATCCACGGCTTCAGCACCCGGCGCTTTCGGCCACGGAGCCCGGAACGGATGGTTTGTATAGACAAACTTCATACGACACTTCGTAGGAAGCCCGTATTTTTTTTAGTGTAGGAAAATCGATACCATTTTGCTGCATATTTTTTGACAGTTTTGTTTCCAATTTTATCTAAAACATCTAAAAATTTCAAGGAAAAGTGTGCACGACATTCCTTATCAATTCAGGTTGTATCCAGGGAAATTTTGCATCCCTCTAATGTTCATACGGCGTTCTTCTCTAGAACGGCAGGAAGAACACAAAGCAACCTCAACACGCGGTTAATGTTTATCGGTTAGTATTGCCCCAGGTTACATTGAATAAATCTTTGGGTTGAAAATGTGCAACCTCGTTAAAAATCAGACTGGAGCCGCCAGGATTGGACACCTGTAACGCATTGGTGATAGCTCAATGTGCTAGCCTCTCGCAAGTCGCAACCTCAAAATGTCAACACAATATTTTGATTACTTTTCCGTACCGTGTATAAATCAATCTGGCCACTTAAGGCAAACTTAAATTTGCTGTAGTAGGAATGTGTAAGAGGTATTTCCCTAAAACTCAATTGAAAATGATGAATTTTTCTGCTCGAACAATTTTTCGTGCTATCTGCCTCTCATTAGCCACTTGTTTGTCGCGTGGATCCTCTCCGCGTGGTCGAAAGTTTGAGCGTGAGATGCGTCAAAAAAGCGAATATCTACACACTCAGATCAAGCCAACACGCAATATTTTGCGTCAAGTGTTCAATTAATGTCTGTTTTGTTGTTGTTCTACGAAAGGCAATCGTATATCCCTCCCGTGACGGAGATAATTTTATCGGACTCGTAATGATGATTTTAATGGATCTCATACGCTGAAGGTATGCAGTCGACTAAAAATTCTTTTTTGCCGATAAAATCGCACGAAAATCACGTTCCGCAAGTCAGAAATAACTCCTAAACGCACAATTATTATAGGCCGTCGTTGTTACACCTCTGTGTTGGAGTGGACGCATTTTATACCTCCGCAGTCAATTAAGTTTGCCCCCAGAGAAAGGTGTAAGTAAACCTAATCTTAATGAATGAACAAGTCTAAGTATATCTTAAACTTTTTTCTCTGGTATGGTCTAAATCATATACATCATTGCAACTAACTGCGTGGAACTGTTAGTTTATTTACGTCAGGTGTTTCTACATCTTTATCTCTTTGGGCAAAAGTTTAATTTTCGAGTTCATAGTTTAAGTCAGGTAAGTTTGCCCATAGAGAGGTGTACGTAAACCTAATCTTCATACATGAACAAGCCCGCAGTATGTCTTAAATTGTTTTGTGAGATAGTCTTAGTCATATGCATCATTTTATTTTGCGTTGCGTAGAACTGTTCGTTTATTTACGTTAGGTGTTCATACATCTTCCTCTCTTTTTGCAGACGTATAATTTCCGGCGACTGCAAACTGCGGGCTAGGTAAATTTGAGCATGCATGAAACGCAGTATACAAATTGTGCATTTCGGAGTGTATTGTAAACATTTCTGCTGTGCTCAACGCGATTTTCATGTGATTCACCAATAAAATGTTTATTCAGATGGCTGCATTTCTTGGGTGCACGAGAACCAACAGTTAGCTGGGAACATACATTGTCAGAATAGAGAGAACTTTCCGCGGTTTTATGATAAATATTATCACCTGCAATGTCTAAAATTGTGTATGTTAAATAAACTGTGCTTTAATATTGCCGTGCGAAGGAAAAACACCGTATGAACATTCGAGAGTTGCCAAATTTCTCTTGATAAAACATGCATTTTTGACGACATTGATACATTCATGCATATTTTTCCTTGAAATTTTCAGATATTTGAGATTAAATTGCGTACAAAATTGTCTGAACATTTTGGAACAAAATATTCAAAATTTTACCAGTAAATTCGGTTTTTAGTGAAGGAAATCTGACAGCGTCTAAAGGCGCATACGGCGTTCTTCCTCAGCACGGAAGAATAAGTGATCACACCATTGAAGTTTTTAGTTTTTAACCAATATACTTCAGAATCAATCAAGATCAACTTCGTCAAAATGTACACGGCATAGCTATGCTCTTGCATCACTATCCATGCCTCTGCAGAAATAATATTCATTGCTCTTTCAAAAATTCTCCTCTTCAAAATTATAAAAGCTCACTAGACACAACAGGTGCGCGCCGAAAAAAAATATCAAAATTAGTAATTTAAGTTAAAATGATATAAGTCTCGTATTGAAGTATTCAAAAGTATAAGGCGCGAAAGTAACAAGATGAAAACGGAGATAGCAAATAACTCGGAAAACTCCAATCTCAATCTCCACGTGAGCCCTGTGTTACTTACGAATTCATGCTTTCTGCGGCTCATGCGGAAATCGAGATGCACCCTCACGCCTGAGAGACAAAAAATAGAAAAGAGCTAGGATTGGTGGAATTTCGCGTGTAAACTGTTAACGGAATAAAGTAGATCTAGACGTGGTCTGTAGTCCGTAAAATTCTACAAAAAATTAAACCTCTAGAGCTATCCGAACCATTTCAGCGGCTGAAATCCAAATTCAGTAGTATGTAGTATGAGTGACGATCTGAGTCCAGTCGTTCATTAAACAATTACATAAAAATTATGTCAAAATGAATTAAATTTTTTGACTGTAACTATTTTGGACTTGACAATGAGAAAGTTGGCCAAAAGTTCGCCACGTAACGCTCTCTACATTATTCTGTGACGTAAAGTTCCTAAACTTGGTAGACTGAAACCCACCGTAGAAATTTTGATTGATCACGGCGAGTGCGCCAAAAATTTGTAACGGCCGTTCCACTGAACAGTTTTCTTCCCCCGCTCAAAATTCCCTGGAAATTCGTAACGATTTCTATCTTCATTCTCCCTCGCAACGCTGCGTAACGAGAGTTCCCGAAATTTGGTAGAAATTTTGATCGACTCCGTGGAAGTTCGTCCATAAGTCGTAACGCAACGCTCTATGTATACTTTTTTACTGTCTGGAATGTTGCGCAGCGATGATTTCCG